TCTTGTTGGGAAAAGGTCAGGGTCAGGTCTTCCTCCAAGAGAGGCTGAATGGCTGAATCTGTTCCTCGATTCATGTTTCTTGGTTGGACTGAATGAACAGTAGCAAGCAACAGCTTACCTTGGCCAGATCTGACCTGGCACATACTTTTAAATATAACTATACAGTCATGTGTAAATACATTTTAAGTACGGGTGGTCCCAGGAGTCAAACCCACTATCCTGGCATAGCGCCATGCTCTACCAACTGAGCTACAGAGCTAAATAAACACAGAACACCTACCTGGATATAAAACAAAACAAACTTTTTCATTTAAATAAATTAGTATTTTAGGTTTGGTTAAGCTAATTTAGCTAGTACCATGGCTGTAAGTATACCTATTTAAATTAAACATAACAAAAACTAAACGTTAACACTAGAACCGCCATAGGCCAACGACCACTGACGTTTGATTTTGTACATTTAAAAAAACAGTCCAAAAAATAAGCTATGTCCTGCTTCTTCCCTGACTTTTCCTAAATGTTTGTATTTTACACTGCTCATTTGTCAGAATTTTGAAATTACAAACAGAAAAGTATTTAGAGCCTTTTTAGACAATAGTGTAATGATGAGTTTGTGTTATGCCTATTTATCAGCAGCAAATAATTTGAACATGTGCCTTGGGGGTTGATACCATTCTCTTTTACGTTTTACTTTGTAAAAAGAAGCTGTTATGGGACTGTTTTATTTACTATAACTCTATTACTAAGGCTGTTACGGTGACCGTATTAGCTCACGAGTCATGATGGCAGTCAAATTCCATGTGACCGTTTAGTAATGGTAATTAGGCTTCTCCCCCCACGGGGGGCCAGTATGAAAATGTATACACTCACTAATTGTAACTCGCTCTGGATAAGAGCGTCTGCTAAATGACTAAAATGTAAATTGGATCACAAAACAAAGTCCAATCTGCTGATGGTCATTAGTAGCTTACCAAGCTTGCTAACTGTCTGGTACTCCGCATTCTATTGTCCCTCTAATCACTCTGACATCAATGCAAATGTAATCCAAATCTAATCAAACACTTAATGAGAGCCCATGAGCTCATGTTGCACAACATTTCTATAGGCTATGCAATTGTGGAGAAAACAGAGTGATGGCCTCTATTAAAAAGAGGAGCATCCCATCAGCTTTCTATAGGCTAGGCCTACTATATTTATTTCTCAACCTTCCGAATATTAAGCACATTGCTTCTCTTTAAAACAGGAGTATAGCCTACCTGGCTGGCATGAAAATGAACCAAGGGAAAAGCATCCTCCATTCGCTATTTAAGTGCATAGATGACATGGATTTTTTTCCGGCTGCCCCTGTTTCGAGACAGGTGCATGATAATGGTCCATTGTAAATCAGAACAAATTTCACACATATATTATTTAGTTTATGTAAAGACAAGATTAAATCAAGAATAGTGTGATGGGTGACAATATTAGCCTATCACTTGTGAATTATATATTACCACTTGTGAATGATGACAAGCTTAAGGCAAACAGCACATGCTTTTTTTTGCTACTTTTTCAAATCATAGTCACACTCCTCATGTAACCTAGCCCATAGGCCTATATGTTTTGATAAGGTTTCTATCACAATTAAAGTGGCCAAATAACTTCTTAAAATGAAGCACATTAATCCGCTTTCCAACGGGTCTAGAGCCTAACTGGCATACATACGCACTGCGTGAGTTTCAAGTTTGGGGGAGATCATTTTCACCATAGAAATGCACATTGATAATAAAAGCATTACATGCATAATCGCATTTGTGGTCACTTTTGAGAACGATGTTTTCCTGCTAATGGAATATTTGCGCTTATAGCCTACTGCCGTGTGCACATTGCTGCGCTTATAATGTGAAGAAATAGCTTAATAATTTATCAACATTTTAAGCTAAACATTCTCATCTGTTGCGTCAGGCTTATTGCGTAAAACAGGTTTTTTGATGGTAGTGGTTGTATTAATTTGGGATCTATCGCATCCCACAACTGTCCCCGACTATGTATTGAATATTTATTTATTCTTGGGTATGACGCTACAAGCTTGGCACACCTGTATTTGGGGAGTTTCTCCCATTCTTCTCTGCAGATCCTCTCAAGGTCCGTCAGGTTGGATGGGGAGCGTCTGGAGGAAACCTGGCACCATCCCTACGGTGAAGCATGGTGGTGGCAGCATTATGCTTCATTAATCTTTTCCTCAATCCTGACTAATCTCCCAGTCCCTGCCACTGAAAAACATCCCCACAGCATGATGCTGCCACCACCATGCTTCACCGTAGGGATGGTGCCAGGTTTCCTCCAGATGTGATACTTGGCATTCAGGCCAAAGAGTTCAATCTTGGTTTCATCAGACCAGAGAATCTTGTTTCTGAGACTCTTTAGGTGCCTTTTGGCAAACTCCAAGCGGGCTGTCATGTGCCTTTTACTGAGGAGTGGCTTCAGTCTGGCCACACTACCATAAAGGCCAGATTGGTGGAGTGCTGCAGAGATAGTTGTACTTCTGGAAGGTTCTCCCATTTCCACAGAGGAACTCTAGAGCTCTGTCAGAGTGACCATCGGGTTCTTGGTCACCTCCCTGAGCAAGGCCCTTCTCCCCCGATTGCTCAGTTTGGCCGGGCGTCCAGCTCTAGATAGAGTCTTGGTGGTTCCAAACTTCTTCCATTTAAAAATGATGGAGGCCACTGTGTTCTTGGGGATCTTCAATGCTGCAGAATTTTTTTGGTACCCTTCCCCAGATCTGTGCCTCGACACAATCCTGTCACGGAGCTCTATGGACATTTCCTTTGACCTCATGGCTTTGGATTTTGCTCTGACATGCACTGTCAACTGTGGGACCTTATATAGGTGTGTGCCTTTCCAAATCATGTCCAATCAATTTAATTTACCACAGGTGGACTCCAATCAAGTTGTATAAACATCTCAAGGATGATCAATGGAAACAGGATGCACCTGAGCAAAATTTTGAGTCTTATAGAAAAGGGTCTGAATACTTATGTAAATAAGGTATTTCTGTTTTCGCTTTGTCATTATGGGGTATTCTGTGTAGATTGCTGAGGAAAAAAATGTATTTAATCCATTTTAGAATAAGGCTGTAACGTAACAAAATGTGGAAAGAGTCAAGGGGTCTGAATACTTTACGAAGGCACTGTATAGTGTAGTTTATGCACTATTTATCAAGTGTCGGAGCTTATGTTTGCTGTACCTTGCAGGTTGATACAGTGAGGGAAAAAAAGTATTTGATCCCCTGCTGATTTTGTACGTTTGTCCACTGACAAAGAAATGATCAGTCTATAATTGTAATGGTAGGTTTATTTGAACAGTGAGAGACAGAATAACAACAAAAAAATCCAGAAAAACGCATGTCAAAATTTTTATAAATTGATTTGCATTTTAATGAGGGAAATAAGTATTTGACCCCCTCTCAATCAGAAAGATTTCTGGCTCCCAGGTGTCTTTTATACAGGTAACGAGCTGAGATTAGGAGCACACTCTTAAAGGGAGTGCTCCTCATCTCATCTTGTTACCTGTATAAAAGACACCTGTCCACAGAAGCAATCAATCAGATTCCAAGCTCTCCACCATGGCCAAGACCAAAGAGCTCTCCAAGGATGTCAGGGACAAGATTGTAGACCTACACAAGGCTGGAATGGGCTACAAGACCATCGCCAAGCAGCTTGGTGAGAAGGTGACAACGGTTGGTGCGATTATTCGCAAATGGAAGAAACACAAAAGAACTGTCAATCTCCCTTGGCCTGGGGCTCCATGCAAGATCTCACCTTGTGGAGTTACAATGATCATGAGAACGGTGAGGAATCAGCCCAGAACTACATGGGAGGATCTTGTCAATGATCTCAAGGCAGCTAGTCACCAAGAAAACAATTGGTAACACACTACGCCGTGAAGGACTGAAATCCTGCAGCGCCCGCAAGGTCCCCCTGCTCAAGAAAGCATATATACATGCCTGTCTGAAGTTTGCCAATGAACATCTGAATGATTCAGAGGAGAACTGGGTGAAAGTGTTGTGGTCAGACGAGACCAAAATGGAGCTCTTTGGCATCAACTCAACTCGCCGTGTTTGGAGGAGGAGGAATGCTGCCTATGACCCCAAGAACACCATCCCACCGTCAAACATGGAGGTGGAAACATTATGCTTTGAGGGTGTTTTTCTGCTAAGGGGACAGGACAACTTCACCACATCAAAGGGACGATGGACGGGGCCATGTATCGTCAAATCTTGGGTGAGAACCTCCTTTCCTCAGCCAGGGCATTGAAAATGGGTCGTGGATGGGTATTCCAGCATGACAATGACCCAAAACACACGGCCAACGCAACAAAGGAGTGGCTCAAGAAGAAGCACATTAAGGTCCTGGAGTGGGCTAGCCAGTCTCCAGACCTTAATCCCATAGAAAATCTGTGGAGGGAGCTGAAGGGTTCGAGTTGCCAAACGTCAGCCTCAAAAACTTAATGAGTTGGAGAAGATCTGCAAAGAGGAGTGGGACAAAATCCCTCCTGAGATGTGTGCAAACCTGGTGGCCAACTACAAGAAACGTCTGACCTCTGTGATTGCCAACAAGGGTTTTACACCAAGTACTATGTCACGTTTTGCAGAGGGGTCAAATACTTATTTCCCTCATTAAAATGCAAATCAATTTATAACATTTTTGACATGCGTTTTTCTGGATTTTTGTTGTTGTTGTTATTCTGTCTCTCACTGTTCAAATAAATCTACCATTAAAATTATAGACTGATCATTTCTTTGTCAGTGGGCAAACGTACAAAATCAGCAGGGGATCAAATACTTTTTTTCCTCACTGTATGCATCTGATGCATATGCTAAAGATGACGCCCGGCAACGTTCTCTAGCGGGTACTTATAGGCTGAAAGGCAAGGCAGTTTTAGTGTTAAGAGACAGACATACAGCCTTCAGAACAAGCCTCACCTTGTGCTCTGGAGTAGATGGCAACTGAGCCACTCACTAGGCCAGCGTATAAACACTGCTTCTTGTGCACCAGGCTGGTCACGGTGGACTTGTCTAGGGTGAAGAAGTGTTGGAGACGCACCTTCTTGGACCGCTGGCTGCTCTTATAGACTATGATACTGCAGAGAGCCATAGAAAGGTTGTGAGGTGATATCATGATTTGTGTTTCCAAATAAAATACAATACAATAAAACCGATGAGAAGATTTATTTAGCCTACAGTAGAACCCAGAGTTGGCTATGACTACATCATCTGTTGACATCACATACCTGCCCTCCTCCATGCCCAGGCAGACAGTAGGGATGTCACTGGCCTTCCCCACTAAGGAGAGGTTATTTTCTGGGTTCCCCTCCCCATTCTCCTGGGTACTCTGCTCCATGGGTACATAGGCCATGCACAGGATCCGAGACTCCACATTGAAACACTCTGTCACCTTGGGGCTGGAGTTCTGCATGGCCACAATGGCTATCTGACCCATCTGGTTGGTGCAGCTCGCAACCTGAACAGGGATAGGAGTAGTAACAGTTAGGAGTAGGGCGACAAGTTTTTCATGACCACATGACCTGACAGGGAAAGACTCCATGCCCCAGCTAGGAAATAAGATCCTTTCTACAGAGCTTTCCAATTCTGACCTCATCAGGGGTTGTGATACAATTGATAAAGTGAGAAAACAACAACCACGACAACAACAAACAATGCTTTTAACCACTCCAGCAAAAAGCTGTACAGCAGACTGACCAATAGGAGCATAGAGTGGGAGAGAATGGCCCTCTCAATCCAGGCCAACAGTAAGTAATTTACAATGGAAAAGTGTGAGCCGTCATTGTAATGAGAACAGTCCATCACTGGAAGACATTGGGAGTCACAGAACTGTGGATGTGTTATCCCTGCCTCTGAAGTAAATACACATAGCTAAGAGGCTCTCAATAAACTGATTCATACAGTAAACATGCCACTGGTTCATATTTATAGCTCATGAATGAAAGGGCCTCTGTTCAATATTTAATTCCAATCTCACTGGGAGTGGAAGAAAGCTTTTTTATAGGGATTTATAGCTGATGATGAGTAATATGGCTAATCTCAATATTTGGCACTGGTTACAAGCAAAACAGATCTCATTTGGCATCATTTGTAATGCAATGATGTACATACATGGATGTCCATGCTGTCCATTGACAATCTGTTTTATAACATCTATGACGTCTATTGTTGTTTAGGCCTTATTACCAAGGGTTCAAGTAAAATGCCATCAAATGATAAAAAGCCAGGTGTCCTACTCACCCACACACAGCCGTGTCCGAGTGCAGGTGTGTCTGCTGTGCTCTCTTTGTTGACGTGGGGCTCGGGGTTATGGACCTGCACACTCCACCTGCCAGAGATACAGAGAAACAGACTTACACCACTCTTCACTTTACACGTGTATGTAGATTGTACTAGTTTCCTACATGGCATTGTAACAAATGATTCATGCGGTCATGGGATAGGTACTCTTTTGAAGTAGCCATTGACCCTGCCCATGGCTGACAGAGGAGGCGGTGTGGGGGAGGTGATGCCCACCTTGAACTCCTGTAGTTTGGACATGACCACAGGCATCTGCCTGAGCAGGAGAGGATGTTTCTGCTTCTTGATCTGGTTGCCATCATCCTCCGCAAAGAACCAGCCCTGCAGGTTGTCCTCCTCTGTTAACGCACACACATGAACACACACACACGTACAGTTGCACACACACAGACATACCAGAGTAATTTCATTTCTAAGAGGAACACTATGTCCAGTGTGGAGCACTGATCCTAAATTCAAACCGTGAAATATTACATTTCCAAATATGTTACATAACACTTTTTACAATCCATTTTACAGTCCAATGAGCCAGGGCTGGAAAAGTGAATTTGAACTAATAATATTTGCTTGGTAAACACTGATTTTTAAATACCCATTGCTATGCAACTAAACCTTGAGTTTGGAAATGAGCCACGAAGCCAGTGGCAGTTTAAAACAATCACAAGTGGAAAAGAGCAGTGAGGCAAAGAGAGGCTGTCCCTCTGCATACCCTCACTACAGTCCTCTATGGAACTACAAAGTGACAGAGGCAGTGGGGAGAAGCAATAGGGAACCACAGAATATCCAACACAAACAGCTTTGGGTCTGTGATTGTGACTGAGGCCAGACTAAGACATACCCAGAGCCAGCTTGGCCATCTGCAGGTTACTGATCCAGGACTGTTTGATGGCTGGAGAGAAGGTATTGAACACAGCAGAAAAGTATGTGGGCCTGCCAGACCTGCCGAGAGAGAGAGAGAGAGAGAGAGAGAGAGAGAGAGAGAGAGAGAGAGAGAGAGAGAGAGAGAGAGAGAGAGAGAGACAGAGAGAGAGAGAGAGAGAGAGAGAAATGACAGACAGCAGTGTTGAGACAGTGACAGTATCCACTACACAGAGTCTGTGTCATGGAGATTGAATCCTGGGGGTGTATTAACGGTTCTGCTTCCCTACATTCACTTCAATTTTTTTAAAATAATCACCTAATAGCAGGAACAGCACAATCTAGTGGTCAGAAGCTGGTAATATCAGGATGTAGGATGGGACATAAACCCAACAACTTTACAGACTAATTTCTCTGAACAGTGGAAAAGAACAGCACCAAATTCATTCAGAATACATTACATAGGATGAAGAAACAATACCCTAAGCCGCAGCTCCATACTAATATAGAGAACTGATACTATATACTCGTTGTTGGGGTGGGATTGGCGTGGGGTGTGGGCTGACCACTTCTTTGGATTCCTCATGTCTTACTCATTGTTAGAAAAAAGTTTGGTCCAAATCGGATTTTAGGTACTATAATTATTGAATATTATATGAATTCTATAAATTAAAATGGCCAATTTGGGTGCAATCAATTTGCTTAATTTCTCAGAGATCAAATTATATATTTCAACAAAATAATGTTTCTGGAATGCTTATTTTATCTGTTTCTAACTACAGAACAAATCGGAGATGGTGGGTGTCATGGCTTGCTGTCGGGGGGAGGGGAATCTCTGTGTGACCCTAACAGCTGAAAGGACATGTCATCCTGCTCTCTTGTTAGGGGCTTTTCTCATTGACAAAAGTTAAAGGAGCGGCAGCGTGCCGACATTTCAATTGACATAATTTGTACATTAACTTTTCAATTCACATGTGGGTTTGGTGCTAGGCAACGGACATTTACCATAACTATCCCTATAAAATATCCCAGGATAGGCACTAGCCAGCATGCTTCAACTGTGCAAGCGACTTTTCATCTTAACCGTATTACACATTTTAAAAATGGAACCAAACCGCATTACACTCTTGAATAATGCAACAATTCACAAGGATGTGCAGAAAATAAAGGGTTTATTTTCTCGTTTGAAGGCTACACTACATTTTAGCTTCAAGACAAAAGCACAGAGTAGCTAACAGCATGTCTTCATCAAGTAACGTTTGCCTATTAAAAATGAACAATTAGGCCTACTACCCCTCTCATACAAATATAAAAGTACAGTAGGCCTATTACAACATTACTTCATCAGGCTTAATTTTTATCAATATCATGCAAATCATTTGGCCTACATGTGGTAAAAGCTAATTGCGACTGGAAATGTGGGTATAATATCTATACAGTATGGGGAGTTGCCACAAGCGACGAGCTGTTTTATATGGAAGCCCATACACGCCACCCAAAAAAAATGTATACATTGAATTGCCTCATGATTTGTCAACTCGTGCACAATTAATCTGTGCTTCAGTCTGATCAACTGCAGCCTATAACAACCACAGCTGCAGGTAGCTTAGATCCCTTTTGATCCCATCTGGGCCTGGTCAGGGGAAATGAAGCGGTAACATCATGTATTTATAGCCTAAGATATGTATTTATAGCCTAATGTAGGCCTATTTATTTGTGTTCTGAGAAAATATGAATGTGATCAAATTTGGCTTATATTCAACTTTGGGTGGATACCTAGGCCTTTTTAATCCGAAATTATTGACTGGAATTAATCAATCAACACAATAGTGATGACATATTGTATGAATAACTTTTTAATGACAGATTTAGTTACTGGAACAACGCTCCTAACCGCTAGGCTACCTGCCGCCCCTATAGTGTAGTGTAGGGTGTGACTGAAATTTTGTGGGTGAGGAAAGAGCTAGGCATGACGCGCTTGGCATCTTGTTGTTATGACTTGCATTATCTGAATTAGGCCCACATCATTATACCTACGGAGGAGCGACTTCCATGAAGGAACTTTGAATGTCTTTGAACTTCAAAGAGTTGACTTAACTAACGTTGGACCAGAGCTAGCCCTTGATCATGACTCTCAGTTCCATTTCAGTTTTCGAGAGCTAGACCAGAGATAGCTAACAAGCTAGCTAGCTAACAAGCTTTTGTGTGCAGAGCGGCACCAGAATTAAAATAAAAACACGTTTTACTTTTTTGTTGTTAATAAATCCAATGTGAAACGTGATAACTATAGTATCCTTAACTAGCACTGAAAAAGTTAATCCGTTGTTCTCTAATAAAAAATGTCTCTCCCTAATTTCTGAATCACGACTGTAACGTCAGTAGCTACAGTAGACTATGCATGCTTTAGAAGGAGGGGCAGGTAGCTTACACACACACACTGGCAAAGATTTTAGCTGGCAGGCAGACACTGGAATACGTTTGTGACAGTGAGGGCTTTGCATAAGCACTTTGTTGCGTTTATTGTGGGACTGGAAAAAAATGCCCAGAACGTAAAATAACATTATTAAGCGGTTAAAATAACGGTTCTGCTATGACTTTCGTTCTCGGTTCTGCTTCTGTTCCTCGACCAATGTTGTTCTTTTCCGGTTTTCGGTTCTGTTCCCTGAACCAGTTCCAACTCCTGCAATGTCATACCCTACAAATAGGGTCTGAAGTTGGTTAGGTTAGCCTACCAGATCAGGAAAAACTCTAGGCTCCAGGAAAACAATTCCCCCCCAGAACTCTGGGGCCTGTGGTGCCACCTCTGAAATCACCACACAATATTAAAAATGGATACGATCTGCTATCGACATTGTACATTTATTTTGGTGGTGGGGATGGGCTTCCATAGTTTTATGTGACTCAGTGTAGCCGGCAATTTTAGAATGTTACTGCAATTTCAGGTAAAAACTCAATACAAAAAGGCTCAAATATTAGGAAAATGTCTATACATTTCAGCTGTTTCAAAATCATTACTCTGCTATTACCATTTATACTGTAGGAGTGTTGGGCTGGACGAGACAATTCTGTTCACACTGCCGTGCTCGGAAGGGGGTAACTGTCAGGCGAGTGTCGTGCGCTACCTCTGGAGGTAGCGGTAGAGACGTAGCAAGTTCGCAAGTTCACATTATTTTAAAAAGGTATAGCCGAGGGTATTCTCTCGAAACCTCTAGAGAGTCTGTCGTAGTGTGGAAAGGGTCTTAGTGACAGCAGACAGATAGGGCTGTGAGGTAATGGAAGCCAACGGTGTTTATAACAGCTAATATCAGCCAACGTAAATAACACATCACAGGGGAGGATCTCTCTGGCATGCATCTTGCCTTTCACTCTCTCACTCCATCTCTCTCTCTGGAATGTGGTGTTTTTAGATGGAGGGATCAGAGAGGAATGAGAGCAGCACAGCTGCGTCTCTAAACGTGATGCCCAGGGGTAACAGAGGTCATTTAACCAGTTAAAAATGGCAGGCAGTGTGTGAGTCAACAAGTTCAAGGTGCCAGTGGGCCATGGAGGGACCATGTGGAGGGAGTACTCCCCTATAGTAATGAGTGGATGAAACAGCTGCACTGTCTTCTTTGAAGAGAGAGACACAATGATCCACAGCAGAGAGCATAGAGCTCTAACAGACTCAATCATACCCATGAGATCAGATTAGAACAAAGTTAAAGTTGCTTATCCACCGTGACAGTAACTCTGTGCTCATTCCTGGATGGTGAGAGGGGACAGTGAGGGAGTGAGGACATAGGGACCTAGTGTGTGAGAGAGAGACAGCAGTGTAGATGAGAGGTCTGTATAAGAGAGAGAGAGAGAGAGAGAGAGAGAGAGAGAGAGAGAGAGAGAGAGAGAGAGAGAGAGAGAGAGAGAGAGAGAGAGAGAGAGAGAGAGAGACAGTGGTGTGGATGAGAGATCTGTATGTCAGAGGGAGAGGTCTATGTGTGGGACAGAGACAGTGATGTGGGTGAGAGATCTGTATGTCAGAGGGAGAGGTCTATGTGTGGGACAGAGACAGTGATGTGGGTGAGAGATCTATAAGAGAGAGACAGCAGTGGTGTGGGTGAGACACTGACTTGTCCTGTTTGCCAGGCAGCTGCAGCTGGATCCTACAGCGGTCTGCAGCCCGGATCTCCTCCTCCTTCTTCAGGATGAGACGCTGCAGACCCGACACCCAGTCATGGGCCACCGTAGGGTTAACGTTCTACAGGAGAGAGGGAAGGAGGGAGAGAAAAGAGTCAAAGAGAGAGAGAGAATCGGATAAAGTATTAACACAAGACACTGCTTATAATGTCATCCATAATGTCGGATGAAAACTAGATCTATTACGGCTTTCAATCATGCCATTGGGCGAGCAGAGATTGACTCCGCACACCAGCTCTTACAAATTGACCACAAAAGCCCCACCTCTGTCTTGTGTGTGTGAGTCTCTCTGTGTGCCTTTGGCCTGTTCTCTGCTCCCCCACCACTAAGCCCTCTGTCTCTGACAGGACTCACACATAGACAAACACTGGCTAGTTGAGTCTCACAGCCCAGCACCACACAGCGCTGTCTGGGCAAACTACTGTGCACCAGACTACAGTGTTTGTCAGGGCCCTCTCTCTCTGTCTCTCCCTCTCGCTCTAATCTGTCTGCTGGGGCCACAGCTCGACATGACACATCAAAACCTCAGGGACATATTTACACACAGGCAAATAATATACTTGTATTTTCACTCGCAGAAAACAAGCCTTAAAATGAATGCAGCGATAAATGCTGCTCACCTGGTAATTGCCCTTGAGGCTCCCGATCATGCTGGAGATCTGGTTGACCAGGCTGAGGTCGTGGATGAGGTTCTGCAGGTCCTGGTACAGCTGGCCTGGACCCATGTACAGCTTATCTGGAAAGAGAGACAATGAGAAGTTGAATAAAATATCAGCTGCCCTGGGCTCATGTATGCCTTATCTAGACTTGGACAATCAGAAGGGTTGAATAAACTATCCCTGTCAACAGAAAACAAATGTTTTACCAAGTGAAGTTGGTAATTGAAGTAAGTTGTGATTCACAAATCGGAACCCATAGCCCATATCTCATCTGAACCCATCGCCCATATCCCATCTGAACCCATAGCCCATATCCCATCTAAACTCATTGACCCAAGAATATGAGCCATTAATATCTCAAAGGCAATTCCTGGCCATTGAAAGCAGGAGGTAAAATAAGACCTACTGCCAGACAAAGATCAATAACAGTCAGATCTGTTTCCCACAGAGACCTGCGACATGTGTGCAAACTCACTTGGAATGGCGCTGAACCGCAGGACCACAGTGGCCGAGTGTGTGTATGTGCTTTGTGAATGTTTTCACTTGAGTACCGTTACCTAACAGCAGTTTCCTGGGGCCAAGCTATTCTCTACTGTTCCGCGTACGTGTGTGTGTGTGTGTATAAAAGTGTGTGTGCATCTTTGTAGATGTGCCTTGCCTAACCGAACCAACGAGCCAGTGAAGTGAAGTGAGTGATTATTGTGTTTCTGTGGGTCCAGCTCAGGACAACGGGCTGCTTTGTTTGTCAGCGTTCAGCCTGTAAATGACAGAGAGACACAGATAGAGAGCCTGACTCATCAGAGAGAGAGAGAGAGAGAGAGAGAGGGGGGCCTCTTGTTGGCTCTGCCAGCACACAGCCTTCTCTCTAGGCTGTAACTCACATTAAACCTCCAGCATAGAGTATGACCCTCCTCGTCTTTCAGACAAGCCTGCCAACAAGTCATCATACGATACAATTTGCACTGCAGCATATGGTACTGTTAGCTGACAAGTAAGCAGGGAAGCTCTTAAAGATACTTTCACTCATAAGGCAGCACATTGGAACTTGGAGGGGAAGGGTTAATGTGAATGGGAATCTCTGGCACCAGGATTCCTGGAGTTCCCTCTGGTTTTGCAAGTCTACTTTCTGTGGGCTCTACAATGGCCTTTCACACTGCCCTAGTGTTCCAGCTCCATGGCAACTGCTCCAGTCTTTCCCAGGGCTGGCCCAGAGAGGACCCTCAGAGAAACTTCCACCATGTTTGTACTTGCACAAATGTACATACAGGAAGCTAATTCAGGGACTTTCTCTTCATCATGTACCAAAATATCATTCTACTTATGAATATATTCAGGTCACTGAGTATCATTGAACTGTTTTACAATATTTACATTTTTCAGACAATATTTTGTTTGGTTGAAAGCATAGACAAGTGTATGGTTAAAAATAAAAATTTATCTTAGATTCTGAAGCATGTAAAAATGTGATGCTGTTTTTGCTATATTGAGCTAATTGCCTTGTCTAATGGTGTTAAAATATTCATGCCTCATCTGTCTTAATGGTTGGAAGCAGGTCAGGACAGAAACGCTTTGGCTTGTCATCCATGGGAATGCTACAGGCCATGATTCATCTCCATGGTTATAAGGTTATTATTATATACTCTGACAAACACTGATATAGAATATAATAAGCCATAATGAGAGTGAGTGCTATGTACAAGCACCCTGGCCATGCTGAACCTGACCTGTAGCACAGTGATTCATCTATGGCTTTGACCTGGACTGGTGCCACCCACCCACCTCATCAACCATTACTGTGCCACATGTTACAGGTACATAGACCTACACAGCATCATGGCTGGTCATAAAATAATGGATTATGCCAGGATTGAAAGGCAGAAGAGACTGGCTAAACCATTATAGCGAGAGCCCAAACTCCTCAATAGGCCTTTGTGAGTGTGCCAGGACCTTCACACAACGCTTGGAAGAGCCTGTGACATCTTCAAGTAAACAGATCTTTGGATGATCCCTCGACCTGCTATATCGCATATTCCTCAAGACTCTCAACTTCTTACAATGTGTAACTATGACAGGCTCAGCCAGAGGAACAAAGGTTCATGGTTTATTGTTTGAAAGTATTTGTCAATGTAACTGACCCATCTCTTTTGGTGGTCCCAATTAGCTAAGCTGAGCACAACAGACGTGAGGTAGGCACACAGACATCCAGAGCAGAGCACAGGGAACTGTGACATCATACGCTGGACTGTCTTTTCATTGCCTCTTTAGTAGGCAGGTCACCAGTGGCTTTGGCAGAACACACTGGACTATGGAGAGAGACAGAGAGAGAGAGAGAGAGAGAGAGAGGCTGAGAGTAAGGGTTTTTCCACTTGTTAAAATGGCTAGCCAGTTCAGAGACACAGAGGACTGATTAGGGAAAATATCATCAGTATTGAAGAGATCGGTGAGATGACATGGCCTGATCAATTTCTGTCAGGTGAAAATGACCATACTGTAATGTCTCCAATTCTAGATTGCTATCCAGTACAGGATCACCTCAGGGCAATAGGTTACAGGATGTACAGTGGGGGAAAAAAGTATTTAAAAAATCCAGAAAATCACATTGTAGGATTTTTTATGAATTTATTTGCAAATTATGCTGGAAAATAAGTATTTGGTCAATAACAAAAGTTTCTCAATACTTTGTTATATACCCTTTGTTGGCAATGACACAGGTCAAACGTTTTCTGTAAGTCTTCACAAGGTTTTCACACACTGTTGCTGGTATTTTGGCCCATTCCTCCATGCAGATCTCCTCTAGAGCAGTGATGTTTTGGGGCTGTCGCTGGGCAACACAGACTTTCAACTCCCTCCAAAGATTTTCTATGGGGTTGAGATCTGGAGACTGGCTAGGCCACTCCAGGACCTTGAAATGCTTCTTACGAAGCCACTCCTTCGTTGCCCGGCGGTGTGTTTGGGATCATTGTCATGCTGAAAGACCCAGCCACGTTTCATCTTCAATGCCCTTGCTGATGGAAGGAGGTTTTCACTCAAAATCTCACGATACATGGCCCCATTCATTCTTTCCTTTACACGGATCAGTCGTCCTGGTCCCTTTGCAGAAAAACAGCCCCGAAGCATGATGTTTCCACCCCCATGCTTCACAGTAGGTATGGTGTTCTTTGGATGCAACTCAGCATTCTTTGTCCTCCAAACACGACAAGTTGAGTTTTTACCAAAAAGTTATATTTTGGTTTCATCTGACCATATGACATTCTCCCAATCCTCTTCTGGATCATCCAAATGCACTCTAGCAAACTTCAGACGGTCCTGAACATGTACTGGCTTAAGCAGGGGGACACGTCTGGCACTGCAGGATTTGAGTCCCTGGCGGCGTAGTGTGTTACTGATGGTAGGCTTTGTTACTTTGGTCCCCCCGTGTGGTTCTGGGATTTTTGCTCACCGTTCTTGTGATCATTTTGAACCCACGGGGTGAGATCTTGCGTGGAGCCCCAAATCGAGGGAGATTATCAGTGGTCTTGTATGTCTTCCATTTCCTAATAATTGCTCCCACAGTTGATTTCTTCAAACCAAGCTGCTTACCTATTGCAGATTCAGTCTTCCCAGCCTGGTGCAGGTCTACAATTTTGTTTCTGGTGTCCTTTGACAGCTATTTGGTCTTGGCCATAGTGGAGTTTGGAGTGTGACTGTTTGAGGTTGTGGACAGGTGTCTTTTATACTGATAACAAGTTCAAACAGGTGCCATTAATACAGGTAACGAGTGGAGGACAGAGGAGCCTCTTAAAGAAGAAGTTACAGGTCAGTGAGAGCCAGAAATCTTGCTTGTTTGTAGGTGACCAAATACTTATTTTCCACCATAATTTGCAAATAAATTCATAAAAAATCCTACAATGTGATTTTCTGGAGAAAAAAATTCTCAATTTGTCTGTCATAGTTGACGTGTACCTATGATGAAAATTACAGGCCTCTCTCATCTTTTTAAGTGGGAGAACTTGCACAATTGGTGGCTGACTAAATACTTTTTTCCCCCACTGTATGTATAGGGGTCTAACCTAGGTCAGGACTAGACAGCTGGCTAGTATATGCCTGCCTGTCTGTCAGCCCAGGGTCCAGATGCTGCTGTTGACGGTGCAGTCTCCAGCCCCCATCAGGGTGTCTGTGGCAGGGACTAGAGGGCAGATGGAGGGCTGACGGGTGGGTGAGTGGGTAAAGCCTTCCACATGCTTCAGTTCAGCTGGCAGTGCTTGCTGAGAAAAAAGCGGCAATAGTACTGTTTGTCCATCTTAAGACGCCGTAACCAGTATACACTTCCTCAAAATAGTCAGAATGAATCTAAGGTAACTAAAAAATCGGTCATTAATTTTGACGTCTTAGTCGCACAATCTAACTAAGATGTTTGGTTGAATGACAAAAACTTAATTGAAGAATCCCTACTGTTGACCAATCAGCAATGAAGGGGTGTAGACTTCGGCTACCGACTTTGGCTTGCCTCGAGAAGAAATGTTGTGTGCACGAACAGCCGAAAAAACCCTTGCCGAAGACTAAAACGAACAAATACGTCACAAAATTACGTCATAATATACGCACCAACTGTTCCGAACCGTTTTGGATAGGAAGCCTTAAGAGGCTTGGGAGAGGAGGGGGGACGGGGTGGCAGTTGGGCAGTCAATGAGAGGGAGGAGAGGAAAGCTTGTTTATCCCCTGGCATTTCAGTGGGTAAGAGGATGAGTGAAAAAAAGGAATGGCCCATATGGTCAACTTCACCCGGGGTCCTGTGCTTTAACAATATGGATGGGGAGCAGAACAGTAGATCACTAATGGACTCTTATATAACACAGGCTTTCGCACAATTACATCCATTTACAGGCTAGACCGTCATCCCCCTCTAGGCACGTGGGTCAAAAGTGCATGGCTACTAACAAACTATAGAGTCATCTAACATCACAGTGGCTAAACATTTTACATTTTAGCAGACACTCTTATCCGGAGCGACTTACAGGAGCAATTAGGGTTAAGTGCCTTGCTCAAGGGCACATCAACAGATTTTTCACCTAGTCGGCTCGGGGATTAGAACCAGTGAACTTTCGGTTACTGGCATTACACTCTTAACCACTAAGCTACCTGCTGCCCATTGTACAGTAGACCATACCCTTGGTAATACAACTAAGAGTCAATCTATCAAAGGATGTGGCAGGGGATGGGAATGAGTTTCTCTGGCGTTATTCACATGTAGTGGAGTAGATCACACTAGCACCACCACAGATGGGACTGACAGAGAGAGCAGCCAGGCAATCGGAGGGAGCTCAGAGGCCCAAGGAATCCTCATTCTCACCAAGTGGAACCATTCTCAATTTTTCCCCTAACCCATCTGTCTCTATCTCCCTCATTTGAATTCCATGCTGTCACAGTTCATAGGCCCATTTAGCTTAATATCCTTGTCATCTATCGCCCTCCAGGTTCCCTTGGAGAGTTCAATCAATGAGCTTGACGCCTGATAAGTTCCTTTCCCTTGAGGGATGGCTTCACCCCTCACAAGTTTGGGGATTTTTCAACCCCTCCCTATGTCCACATTTGACTCATTTCTCTCTGCCTCATTTCTTTCCACTTTCTCTCCTCTTTTGACCTCACCTCTCTCCACCTCCCCCCTTACTCACCAAGGCAGGCAATTACGCTTGACCTCATCTTTACTAATTGGCTGCTCTTCTACTAATTCGCCACTGCACTCCCCCTCCCATGTCTCCGAACCACTACTTTGTTTCCTTTTCTCTTCTCGCTCTCCTCCCACACTACTCACTCTGCCCCTACACAGATGGTAATGCGCCGCCGCAACCTTCGCTCTCTCTCTCCCACTACTCTCTCCTCTTCCATCCGATCATCTCTTCCCTCTGCTCAATCCTTCTCCCTCCAATCTCCTGATTCTGCCTCCTCAACCCTCCTCTCCTCCCTTTCTGCATCCTTTGACTCTCTGTGTCCCCTATCCTCCCGGCCGGCTCGGTCCTCCCCTCCAGCTCCGTGGCTTGATGACTCATTGCGAGCTCACAGAACAGAGCTCCGGGCAGCGGAGCGGAAATGGAAGAAAACTAAACTCCCTGCCGACCTGGCATCTTTTCACTCCTCCTCTCTACATTTTCTTCATCTGTTTCTGCTGCTAAGGCCACTTTCTACCACTCTAAATTCCAAGCATCTGCCTCTAACCCTAGGAAGCTCTTTGCCACATTTTCCTCCCTCCTGAATCCTCCCCCCCCCCCCCCCCCCGCCCCCCCCCCTCCTCTCTCTCTGTGGATGACTTCGTCAACCACTTTGAAAAGAAGGTTGACGACATTCGATCCTCGTTTGTTAAGTCTAATGACACTGCTGGTCCTACTCACACTGCCCTACCCTATGCTTTGACTTCTTTCTCCCCTCTCTCTCCAGATAAAATCCTGCGACTTGTGACTGCAGGCCGCCCCAACAACCTGCCCGCTTGACCCCATCCCCTCCTCTCTTCTCCAGACCATCTCCGATGACCTTCTCCCCTACCTCACCTCGCTGATCAACTCATCCTTGACCGCTGGCCATGTCCCTTCCGTCTTCAAGAGAGCGAGAGTGGCTCCCCTTCTCAAAAAACCAACACTCGATCCCTCTGATGTCAACAACTACAGACCAGTATCCCTTCTTTCTTTTCTTTCCAAAACTATTGAGCGTGCCGTCTTTAGCCAACTCTCTTGCTATCTCTCTCAGAATGACCTTCTTGATCCAAACCAGTCAGGTTTCAGGACTGGTCATTCAACTGAGACTGCTCTTCTCTGTGTCACAGAGGCTCTCCGCACTGCTAAAGCTAACTCTCTCTCCTCTGCTCTTGTCCTTCTAGACCTGTCTGCTGCCTTTGATACTGTGAACCATCAGATCCTCCTCTCCACCCTCTCCGAGCTGGGCATCTCCGGCGCGGCTCACTCCTGGATTGCGTCCTACCTGACCGGTCGCTCCTACCAAGTGGCGTGGCGAGAAGCTGTCTCCGCACCACGTGCTCTCACCACTGGTGTCCCCCAGGGCTCAGTTCTAGGCCCTCTCCTTTTCTCCCTATACACCAAGTAACTTGGCTCTGTCATATCCTCACATGGCCTCTCCTATCATTGCTACGCTGACGATACACAACTAATCTTCTCCTTTCCCCCTTCTGATAACCAGGTGGCGAATCGCATCTCTGCATGTCTGGCAGACATATCAGCATGGATGACGGATCACCACCTCAAGCTGAACCCTGGCAAGACGGAGCTGCTCTTCCTCCCGGGGAAGGACTGCCCGTTCCATGATCTCGCCATCACGGTTGACAACTCCGCTGTGTCCTCCTCCCAGAGTGCGAAGAGCCTAGGCGTGACCCTGGACAACACCCTGTCGTTCTCCGCCAACATCAAGGCGGTGACCCGCTCCTGCAGGTTCATGCTCTACAACATTCGGAGAGTACGACCCTGCCTTACACAGGAAGCGGCACAGGTCCTAATCCAGGCACTTGTCATCTCCCGTCTGGACTACTGCAACTCGCTGTTGGCTGGCCTCCCTGCCTGTGCCATTAAACCCCTACAACTCATCCAGAATGCCGCAGCCCGTCTGGTGTTCAACCTTCCCAAGTTCTCTCACGTCACCCCCCTCCTCCGCACACTCCACTGGCTTCCAGTTGAAGCTCGCATCCGCTACAAGACCATGGTGCTTGCCTATAGAGCAGTGAGGGGAACGGCACCTCTGTACCTTCGGGCTCTGATCAGTCCCTACACCCAAACGAGGGCATTGCGTTCATCCACCTCTGGCCTGCTGGCTCCCCTTCCTCTGCGGAAGCATAGTTCCCGCTCAGCCCAGTCAAAACTGTTCGCTGCTCTGGCACCCCAATGGTGGAACAAGCTCCCTCACGACGCCAGGACAGCGGAGTCACTCACCACCTTCCGGAGACATTTGAAACCCCACCTCTTTAAGGAATACCTGGGATAGGATAAAGTAATCCTTCTACCCCCCCCCCCCCCCACCAAAAAAAAATTTGTAAAGTGATTATCCCACTGGCTATAGGGTGAACGCACCAATTGGTGAGTCGCTCTGGATAAGAGCGTCTGCTAAATGACGTAAATGTGCCCTTGAGCAAGGCACTTAACCCTAATTGCTCCTGTAAGTCGCTCTGGATAAGAGCGTCTGCTAAATGACTAAAATGTAAATGTAAAATGTAAATGTAGAGCTAGGTGAAATAAAGCAGTGGTAATGTCTGCTCAGCCACAGCCTGCCACGCACAGAAAACCACACCTATGACTAGCATACAATAACGTAGTTACTCCATAGCATCAGTGGAGGCTGCTGAAGGGAGGACGGCTCATAATGGCTGGAACGGAGTAAATGGAATGGAATGGAAACCATGGGTTTGATGTATTTGATACCATGTCACCTATTCTGGTCCAGCCATTACCACAAGCCCGTCCTCCCCAATTAAGGTGCCACCAACCTCCTGTGCATAGCAACCACCCTGCCTTCCCCAGTGGGTGTAGGGTCACCACCTGAACACAACACTAGCTAAATGAAAAGCACACTAATGTACCATTACATTACCCATTACCCATGCCTGGTTGGTAGTCAGGAGTCAGGGTGAATGTTCTTGACTAAAAACAGCAACTGCATGGCTATGACCACAAATCATACAGTCTGGTTATGATGGTTGCATGGTTTCCAATAAGGAGTTTAAAGAAGTGGCCAGGCCGGCCAGCTGCCAGAGCAGACCGGGGGGAAATCCAGTGGAAAGAGTGAAGTCACTGACCCTGCAGACGGTGCAGAGTGGAGTTGGCTTCTTATAGACTCAAAACACCATGCAGTCTCTCTCAAGACTCGCGCCATTTTAAAACATCTCTCATTGGTTCGAGAGGGAAAGCCTGGCACACAGAAGATGGTGGCTTTGTCGTTGATGTCTGAAATTAATTGATTATTATAAGCAACTTGGCTCTGTGTTATTAAGTATGGTGCTGCAACGCTATAATCTGAGATGGAAAGCCCCCCATGATTCGTTAGTAACATAAGTGGGTCATGCATTGCCTGTAGTGTTGGCCTGAGCCCACTGAGAGCTGGCCAGGCAGGCTGGTAGATAATTACAGTAATCATCTAGAACATCAATATTTCAAAGGGGGTGTCGAAGTAAGAGGAAATGGTATTGATTTTACACACAACAGAAAACAAGGTATTGCTGCCTGTACTGTACTGTATATGCAATGTACAGCCACTGTGCACAGTAATTGCATAGTATTTCAATATAAGACCTCATATTCCCCTCTTTATGATTAATTGTGGGGTCATAAAGGAATGATTGCATCATGGAATGGAAAAGCCAGAGTTTCAGACCTCCAGTCCAGACCACCAAGCTAATAGCTAATCAAATATCAGGGTCTGGGCCTTTGGGGCGCTCTGTACACCACCAAACCACATCATACACGTCATATCTTATTTAATTTCACACATTACCATAGAAAGCAGGACCCAGAAAGACCCCTGTGACTGTGAGTGAGACGTACTTGGCTTGGCGTTGATGATCACCTTCTCTCCAGAGTGGGGTTGGGGGTTGAAGCGGCTGTTGTCACCCATGTCCTCACTGGAACCAAACTCTACTACGTCCACAAAGCTTAGAGGGACACTCCACTTCAGCAGGAACTTCTGGCCCAGGGGGCCGCTGCCATCCACACTGTACCTGGATAGAGGAAGAGTACTCTGACATACAGCAGGCTGAGGATTACTGCTTTTCCTCACACTGACCAATAAACATTTATTCAATCAAGATTCAACTTGATCAAGAGTGTCTTCATCACTCCTTTATGAGTTGGTGTAAACACAATCAGGGTAAACTAAAGTTTAGAATAAATAAATAAGTTAAGAGGGAATTCAATCAAAAGGTAGGCTAAATTATTTAACATTGCCAGGCATATGGTATGCTGCATTAAAGCTATTACTTTATTTCATATAGCTCAAAGATCTTCCTGCCAGAGCCAGTGGACAGCGTGGTGAAGTGTAGTGTAATTACAGGGCACTCGCTCCACCGTAGGGAGCTGATCAGAATAATACCCAGAAAGGGTGCTCTGTCTGTGGATATAAATCCTGGCCAAGGTGGTCACTGTGTTTGGTGCGTTGGGTCTTACTGGACGTTGGGCGTGGCACACATGAGCACGTCGTTGAGAAGAAAAAGGCGTCGCTCCTTGGTCTTGATGACCTCACCGCGGTCGTTGTAGACTGTCTCCACCATGTCATCCGAGCGAATCAGGTAACGGCTGTCGTTACTCAGGAGCTGGTGGGTAAGGAAGGGAGACGCAGCGGTCAGAGGTCATCTACAATGGATTTTACAGTCTTCCCAAAGGTTAATTTATTATTTATTGTAAATGCATGGTACTCCCCATGATATATAAATACATCGTCTAGATATTTGCTGGGAAGCAATTTGTTTGATCTTAGTATAACTTTTTAGTGTGGTCCTTGTCAAGGGTGAAATGTATATGAACATACCATTTAGTTAGAGTAGAATATACACATACTATTATAGAGCACATCCACTTTACAGATAAGTGTGCATTTAGTTACAGTAAATACACTTTACAGCATACACACCTCCATAAATATAGATGCCATGCGCTGACTGTTTGCTCTTTTGGGCAGACAAATAGACCAATAATTAGACAGTAAGGAATACTGATGTTATACGTTCCTCCATGTCAGGCACTGAGCCATCTCTTATATATACCAGATTTGTGGATAGATGGATTCTCAGTAAAGAATGTGAAGCATCTACAGTCAAGGCCTCAATTTAACGCCCACACAATGGAATAAACAGAATCTGTTTAAACACTCAAATCATCAAGTTATAGAGGATATACACTGAACCCCTATGGTCTGAAAAAAATATCAATGGTGTGTGTGTACCTTGTTGAGGTAGCGTTCGTTCATGGCCTTGGCAATGTGTCTGATCTCACAGCGCTGGTCAGCATCCCTCTTCTTCTCATTGAGCTTCTCAGCCAGGGTTTCCAGCTCCGTCAGGGCCATCTGTAGGGGCAGCCTGTCATTGTGGCCTACAGGGGTGTTCTTCAACATGTCCTGCCATAAAGCATGGAGAGATGACACATTCAGAGCATTACATAGCACAGATCACACCCAGAGCTTCTCCACAGTGGCATAGCATCAGTTGAAAACTATTCAGATTCCTTCAGACAACCATTGGGCTGTCTTAAATGTTATCCTCAGTCATAACAATTATGAGTGAAGATAAAATGTGAAGTGCCTGGAGACCAGAAGCAGAAATACTTTCCCAAGAGTAGGCACACTACACAGCATTTTTTTTTCCAAAAACAGCTCTTTGGTTAGTGAGTATGTGGCTCCCTCTGCTGGTGGATCTGTGTAATATTTGTTCTGTGGGATGAGTGTGGACGCTACAGTGAAATCGATACCTGCAGCAGCAGAATGAACTGAGGGAATCTCTGGATGGGCTTCATCATGAGTCCATAGAGAGTGACCCGGTCACTGCTGGTGTCCTGACGATGCTGTGGAGAGAAAGGAGGACAATCAATGATTACTGATTGATGCAGTGCCGGACAATCCAATACACCACCACAAACTATTTTAGTTCAGTCTGAAATCAACCCCCAGTCCTATGTTTAGGGTAGAGACAGAGATGCATATTCTGCATAGCTGTATTTTCACAGGAGCACACTTTTTATTTATTTTAACAACGGTGCTCTGACTGACCTTGAGGAAGTCCTGGAAGCTGGGTTTGGAGGCACACGTCTTTCTGACCACCGCCATGGCTGTGCTGAAGTTGTTCACATACTCACAGTAGGCGTCCAGCACCATGGACTTGGAGAACTGGGAACCAGATATATAAAGAGAGACAGAGAGGGGAGAGAGCAAGCCATCAACACCTCATAGTCCAATACAATCATAGTCAGGAATGGAATCAACCTGGATCCTAGGCCCAAAATAAGCTGTTAGCTGGAGACATCAGGGTGGAGCACTTCCTACAAGAACCCAGCGCAGCTGTGTGTTGTGTTTATGTGCAGTGCACAGTTGTCTGTCTGTCTGTCTCTGTGTCTGTCTGTGTGTGTGTGTGTGTGTGTGTGTGTGTGTGTGTGTGCGTGCGTGCGTGTGTGTAGGCATGAGACTAATTCCTTTACAATGAGGCAATTTGTAAAAACACTGGGTCATGGGAAACTTGAATTATAGCTTCAGTGAGTGTTGTGCTAAATGGTGAAGCACAGTGCAGGACATTGCGTGAGTATAGGATTTTTTCAGTCCCACTAGTTTTGACCAATAGACCACTGTTAAATGGTTTACTCTTCCAGCCATTAATCTTAAGTGGAATATTAGGAATTGAATCCTTCCTAGGTCCCCCAGCACAGGATTCACTTGTCCACCAACCCACCGAGGCAACAAAGACGTCCCCGATCATTTCCAGACTGTCCCACTCGGCCACTCGGCAGGCCAGGGCGATCTGGAACAGGGCGTGGCACTGGAGAATCTCCCGAATACGATAGAATGTCATCTTCAGCTTCCTGTTTCTTAGCAACCTGGGCTCAATCTCTGAAAGTGGCTTTTCATATTGCTGATAAGAGAGAGGATAAGGATGTGGGTGGTGGGAACTCTTTTCCTTGAAGAAATCACTATAAAGTTATATGAAATGTATCAACTGTAATTAACTTACCTCTAAAATCCGCTTCAGTGAATCAAGATAGTTCTTCTCACTCTCTAATATGGAGCCCAGAATACACCTCCTCACCACCTGTTGTTGTGAGAGCCCCTCGGGGACGGGACAGAGCACTGGCTCCATGTTGAAGCATTCCACCTCGATGAAGAGCTCCGACTCCTCATCCTCAAAACAGGTCGACTTCCTCTCTGAGACACACAGGAGACGTGGTCAACTCAAATCAGATCAGCATCACCCAGGAGGTTACTACACATTGTTAGTGGATGAACTCCCCGTTACAACGTTAAGTGCTTGCAATTCATCCCAGATCCCCGATACACTAATGTAATTAACTGACTAATGTGCACAAAGGACCTGTTCTGCTCTTACTCTTACCATGACAGTGGGTTTTGGTCTTGATGAACGACCGTCCCCTTTTCACCGCTGCTTTGGTCTTCTCCAGGCCGTCTTTGGTCCCATCTCTCGCTGCCTTCACCAGCTTTTGCATCTTCAGGTACATCGACAACAGTAAATAGCACTCAGAGCACACAGTCACAGTGAACATGATACTGAAGCTTTAAGGGAGGAGACAGGAGCCGTGTTAGGAGAGAAGGGAAGATGGCAGATCATGTAAATACAGGAACAGGATCTTAGGGATAATAATAGGGTGGACCAGAGCAAGACAGCAACTGTTACATAACTGAACTGAGTCAATCTAAACTAAAGGATTCTCACATATGCATAAGAGCTTGAAGTGACAAGTACTTAACTGTATATAGGGAATGTAAGTAGTTTAGAGGCACTTTGATTAGCTAGGGTAGGGTCTAAGAAGATTTACCTAGACTGCTACAACTGTCTGCTGAAATGTATACATTTATAGTAGAACTATCTTTTTTCATAGATTTGTTTGAAAGTGTTCTGTTGGATCATTATCCAATGAGTGGACGGAGATGACCATGTACACACCTCCTGTCTAGGCCTACACACAACTCAGCTGCACTGGTGTCTCAGTACGCTGTAGAACTAAAGGCATGTCACTAAGGAGATGCAGAGTGGCCATAACACCCATACAGTTAGTGGCACAGGTCGATGCAGTAGACACAAACCCACCACCAGTCATAAGAGCAGGATGAAGGTAAACTAGGTCTGAGTCAGTCGGTGAGAGACAACGTGAGGGAGGTAGGGGTTAAGGACGCGAAGGAGGCTTGAACCCTAACCCACACACCGACCAGGACAATAACATTTACCTTCTGCTCGTGTTTCTGTTTTATCTGCTGCAGCTCTACCGTTCCCACTGTATTTGCCATAAGATCTTTCATCTTTTTCTCATAGTGTTCTTTCAAGCGTGTCAGATCTTGAGAAAGCTAAACGAAAGCAGAGCAATGTGAAGCGTTACCAGAGCGTTCCTTTGAAGGTGCTCAGCCAGAGAAGATCATACCCCCATCCCAACCCGCCCACCCTCACCTCAGCTAAGGCCTTGCCTCCTCACTCCTATTTTGTCTCCCACCCCACATACTAATCTTAACAGGGCCAATCTCTCCTACAGAAGCCAAGCAGTCACTGTGTGCAGTCAGCTGAGTAATACCAGTGGGATTTCCCTGGTAAGACCTCTGGGCTGAAAAAACAAGTGGGCCATTCACTTCAAACCAAATATACAAATGAACTGTATATTATCAAGAGCATTGTAATAACACATGCAGCCAGAAGGCAAGAATAAGCCTACAATGTATTTACATTAGCTCAAGTAGTTATCATTTGAAATATGTTTGGAAAATGTTTGCTAATCTCCTGTTTAACTGGATATGATCGTTTATTAGATATTCACTGTGTCTCACTGATTCTACTTCCTCATCTGTTCAAGATGCCAATATAAACTACCCTTCTTTAGCTTATCTCCTTCTGTGGCGTCCATCTGCACATAACCTTCATATTCTCTCTCAATCTTCGACTCCCTATAGAATATTGCCCTTTCTTTAGTATATTACTGTATATTCCCCTCCTGTCCTCAATTTTTTGTACCCAAATTCCCACTCTTCTCTCCCCCTCCACCCTTCTCCCTCCCTCCCTCCCTCCCTCCCTCCCCACCCAGATGGACAGGTCTGTAGACAGAGGGGGGTAAGGTGCTTGGTTTACACACATGGGTGGTCTTCCTCTGTGATGGCTTCCCTCTCATGAAGGCATCAGGCAGGCCGTTCTCCTCATGGCCCTCCCCGTCACTCTGCTCGTCATAGCTCTCAAACTCGCTGGAGCTCCAACCGTTGTCCAGGGAGCTGCCGCAGCCCTCCTCCCCAAACTCCACATCATCATAGATCATCTCATCTGGCTCTGAGGGGGGTTGGCGGGGCAAAGGGTTAAAACCAAGGGGAACAGCATTAAAATCAGGGTGAAATATTTATTCAACTGTAATGGTACACTCTGTGTTCATGTACAGTAAGTTAGCATGCTTATATTCAGATCAAACTTCCTTGGCATGAATAACAAATTCTATATGGCAGTTCTAGTGCATCAACTGAACATAGTATATAGCCTAACACAGTTTGATTAGGGGCACATGACATTAATCTGATGAATAATTCCAGCACATTTAGAAATGCAAGAGTTAAAGACATCAATATGCAGAATTACTCAGACACTGTGGCAAAAGAGGAACGACAGTACAATGAAAGAATGATAAAATAAGTACAGAAAGAATGCAGCACTAACCTGTAGTTGAATCAGAGTTCTCTCTGGGCACGTCATCATAAATTACTTCATCTGGATCTAAATGACAAAGCAACCATGTTTGAATGAATTAAGGTTTCAATGTGCAACAAATCTTCACACAATGGACAGAATACAGTCTCAGGGAACTGAGGAAAGGCAAGAGGAAAGACCCCACAAAGGCCCAGTTCCGCAAAAAGGAGCTAGAGGAAGGAAGTGTCTGGGATTTCCTAAGAGAGAAAAAATAAAGAAAACTCCACTGTGTAATCATGCATTGTGCATGGTGGACTCAGGATGGACTCAAAACCATAATGCCTGTCCTGTGGTGTTCTAAGCAGGCATAAAAGTATGCATCATTGTACCACAATTCTGTAGTAAATACTAGGTAAATACAAACAGAAACAGGACAGAAAATGGCAGAAAACTACACATTTCTCATTGGTAGCTAAATGAGAAGAGAATGAGTACTTACTTTCCATCCAGGCTGTGTTTGCAGGGTCCGACACCCATTTAGACAAAGCATCCTCCTCTCTGATGGCAGGATACTCTTCACTGAAGACACTTGAATGAAAAGAGAAATTGTAACCATCTGCTATTCCAATGCAAATAACCAAGATTCCACATAATCACAAATTCTGGCAGATCAACTTCAGTCTAGATGACATAAAGAAGATCAGTGAAGAAAGAGCCTGGCAGGAGAGTCACTCACCTGTCTACAGAAGTGTTGCATGTCCCCACCGCAGTAACTGAAGGGAGAGAGAGAGAACAGTAATGAACATGGATTATTCCTTCACTAACAAAAAACATGACATAAAATGTGCAGTTTGCACTAAACCTTATGTACCACCAGGGGGCAGCCATCACTAAACTAAACTTGTATCAAAGATAAAAAAATAAGACCTGAAATCAATAAATATTGATAAGGACTTCAGATTAGATCTCTCATTCTAAAAACTGCAATGATAAACAGATATATTGATATATTATCTGATATATTATCTGCAATGATAGGCCTACGTTTCAGAATATTTCCTACAGAACAACCTTACAGTATATTGGAACAATCGGTCAATGTATTGCCATTTTAACTCCAGAATATACCCTTTAAAAGACTTTAAAAAACACTCCAAATGTCTTAGCATTTTTAACAGGGGTGACTCTCTGTGATATGTTGGCTAGTTTAAATTACACTGCAATTTTCCCCCAGACTGGCCAAGCCACGAATTTGAAAAGTGCTACTGTAACATTTGAGAGAAAACAGGAAAATCCTCACAGCCAACACTGAATTTAGTGGGCGGCTAAATTTAGCCCCCACTTCCTTGTGGCAAGGCTTTAGGAAAAAAGGAATGCGATGGAGAAAGTAGAGGAAAAAGGAGTTGGGAGTACAGAGCATACAGGTGTCATAGCCTCTCATTCCAAAGTCAGTAGGGGAGAAGGGGGAGAGGACGGGGGAATTCCTCCATAGGAAAGGATGTCAAAGTTTAAACAGTCATGCCCACCACATTTTTCAGTGCTCTGTTCATTGTAGAAACAATCTATCAAATACAGTACATCATGATATTCTGAGGTTTGCAATATGAACGCAGAACAGAGTAGAAAGAATAGAAGAGGAACATCTGTTCAAATCCTTCTACATGTTTCCACTCTGGGTGGGTTCTTCCTTTACCATCCTCGTCCACAGAGAAGTGTCGGATGATGACGGGCGTGGTGTAGGCTGGCGTGATGAGGGGCACGCCAGAGGGGGTGGCGTATCCACAGGGCACGGGCACAGAGTAGCCCGGGGGGACACAGGGGGGGCTGGCGGGGGGAACATCCTGTCCCTCCCCCTCCCTCTCCTTTCCCCCCTCTCCTCCCACTCTCTCAACAGGTGAGGAAGAGGAAGGGGCAAGCCCATGCTGCTGCTCCAGCTGCTGTAGTTGGACGGGGGTGATGTCAATCACAGAGTAGGGGTTGACATTCTTCTGGGAGGTGGTCCTGGGGTTGGCAGGGGGAGGGGGAGGGTCATCGTTGGACACTTCCTTATCTGCAATGGAAATGTAACACAGTCTGTTAGCCCCAAATTATCCCCAGCTACAGTTGCAGGATGCTCTGAATGTGCTGGAACTCATTTGGTACTGGATTACTTTGCAGTTGCAAAATACTAAAAGGTACTGACATAACATTTCATAAGAGCACTTTGATGATACCACATCATGTCTATCATTGGTTAAGTGAATAAGCACTCCAACTTTTGATCACTGCTGAACACTGAAGAAGAATACTGTGACTGTGATTTACAGCAAATAGATAAAATATTTAACTGCCGCTACTTCAAATCTCAGTTTGTATGCCTTCTTCTCTTAATACTCCAATCTGCTTGGCTCAGACACAGACACACAGCTATGTGTTTACGGTCTGACAGCAGAGCGAGAGGCCTCGTCTCAGGCCCTGGTGTCAGAAGATATAAATATCCCACTAGAACACACTACAGGTAGATAGTCTGGAGGTTAAGAGTGTTGGGCCAGTAACCAAATGGTTACTGGTTTGAATCCCTGAGCCGGCAAGGTGGAGAAATCTGCTGTTCTGCCCTTGAGCAAGGTAGTTAACCCCCAATAAATGCTCCCCAGATGTCGATTAAGGAAGCTCCCTGCACCTCTCTGATTCAGAGGGGTTGGGTTAAATGCAGAAGACACATTTCGGTTGAATGCATTCAGTTGTACAACTGACTAGGTTTTCCCTTTTTGATTTCAGGTAGAACCTTATTGGGTTCCATGTAGAACTCTTGCCCCAGAAGCTTCTACATGGAACCCAAAAGGGTTCTACCTGGAACCCAAAAGTGTTGTCCTATCGGGACAGCCGAATAACCTTTTTGGAACCCTTTTTTCCTAGGAGTGTACAGACAGATATGCTGAAGGGCAAACACTACTGGACAGCTGATGGAGAGGGGCCTGGACTCTCAATTGGACTGGGCTATAAGTGTCAGAGGGGGAGAGACATAGGAACTTGGGCTATGACTGCTAGAGAGAGGCAAGAGCATGGAATGTATGTGTTAGCATGAGGAGCTAGAGAGCTAGAGAGAGCAGTAGTATCCTGCTGGTGTCAAACTGTGTGTGGGTCCTTTGTAACTCAGTTGGAAGAGAGAGCATGGTGCTTGTTACGCCAGGGTAGTGGGTTCGATTCCCGGGACCACCCATACATAAAAATGTAGGTGTGCATGACTGTAAGTCGCTTTGGATAAAAGAGTCTTCTAAATGGCATATATTATATTATGAAGCCACCCTGCACCAGGCAGCCAGCGACACCAGGCATCAGGAGTGAGACGGGCAGTGCTACGCTATGCTATTGTCTACCCCTGCCTTACATGGAGCATGTGCCAGAATGAGGTAATAGAACATGTGGAGGCAATAGTCACAACATACACTAAGGATGGATTGCATGACACCATCTACTGTACAGCACCCACTCAGTGTGGAGCAACGATATGGTTGTGGAGGTATATATATATATATCTTCAGATCTCAATGTGCTAGAGGAACACTGAATGGTTGTTTCCACTAACCAACAGAGTCTGTTCCTACAGGAGTGGAGTCCTCTGGAGGTGGAGGAGGGGGTAAGTCACTGTCTGTGTCAGCTGGGACTGGGACTGCTGAAGCCTTTCCCCCTTCTGCTGTAGCCACAGCTGATGTGTCTGTTGTGGCCATGGCTACTGGAACTGGAAGTGATGCTGCCACTGTGGCAGTAATTGTGTCTGGGTTTGAGGGCTGCCCCTCTGGGTGGGGTTCGGGGTCTGCTCCTTCTAGCTCTGGGTGGGGGGCCACACCATTGACCTGGGCCTGGGCCCCGTAGTCAGGGGCCGGAGGGGCGGGGGGTGGCCGGTCTGCCTCAGGGACCTCATCCCCACTGTCGTCAAATTCAAACTGCTCCCCCTCTTCTTCATCCGCATAGGGTACCTCATCCACCAACACTAAGCAAAGAGAGAAGAGAGATAGTCAGATAAATACATCTAACGTATACAGTGCCTTCAGAAAGTATTCATACCCTTGGACTTTTTCCACATTTTGTTGTGTTACCAAGTGGGATTAAAATGGATTTAATTGTTAACGATCTACACAAAACATTTAACCACTAAAAAATATTAATAAAAAATTAAACACTAATGTATCTTGTTTAGATAAATATTCAACCCCCTGAGTCAATATATGTTAGAATCACCTTTGGCAGCGATTACAGCTTTGAGTCTCTAAGAGCTTTCCCCACCTGGATTGTGCAACATTTGCCCATTATAATTTTCAAAATTCTTCAAGCTCTGCCAGATTGGATGTTGATCATTGCTAGACAACCATTTTCAGGCCTTGCCATAGATTTTCAAGCAGATTTAAGAAAAAACTAACTCGGCCACTCAAGAACATTCACTGTCTTCTTGGTAAGCAACTCCTGTCTAGATTTAGCCTTGTGTTTTATGTTATTGTCTTGCTGAAAGGTGAATTAATCTCCCAGTGTCTGGTGGAAAGCAGACTAAAACAGGTTTTCCACTAGGATTTTGCCTGTGCTTAGTTCCATTCTGTTTATTTTGTATCCTGAAAAACTCCCCAGTCCTTAATGATTACAAGCATACACATAACATGATGCAGCACCACTTTGCTTGAAAATATGGAGAGTGGTACTCAGTAATGTGTTGTATTGAATTTCCCCAAACATAACAATTTGTATTCAGAACAAAACGTTAATGACCATATTTTTTGCAGTATTACTTTGGCGCCTTGTTGAAAACAATATTATTTATTTATTCTGTACAGGCATCCTTCTTTTCACTCTGTCAATTAGGTAACTATTGTGGAGTAACTACAATGTTGTTTATCCATCCTCAGTTTTCTAGTATCATAGCCATTAAACTATAACTGTTTTAAAGTCACCGTTGGCCTCATGGTGAAATCCCTGAGCGGTTTCCTTCCTCTCCGGCAATTAAATTAGGAAGGACGCCTGTATCTTTGTAGTGACTAGGTGTATTGCTAAACCATCCAAATTGTAATTAATAACTTCACCATGCTCAAAGGAATATTCAATGTCTGTTTGTTTTATTTTTACCCATCTACCAATAGTTGCCCTTCTTTGCGAGGCATTGGAAAACCTCCCTGGCCTTTGTGGTATAATCTGTGTTTTAAATTCACTGCTCAATTGAGGGACCTTACAGATAATTGTATGAGGTAGTCATTCAAAAATCATGTTAAAAACTATTATTGCATACAGAGTGAGTCCATGCAATTTATTATGTGGCCTGGTAAGCACATTTTTACTCCTGGACTTGTTTAGGTTTGAAATAAAAAAAGAGGTTGAATACTTATTGAATACTTATCAGATTTTCATTTTTTATTAATTTGTAAACATTTTGAAAAACATAATTCCACTTTGACATTATGGGGTATTGTGTGTAGGCCAGTAAGAAAAAATATACACTGCTCAAAAAAATTAAGGGAACACTTAAACAACACAATGTAACTCCAAGTCAATCACACTTCTGTGAAATCAAACTGTCCACTTAGAAAGCAACACTGATTGACAATACATTTCACATGCTGTTGTGCAAATGGAATAGACAACAGGTGGAAATTATAGGCAATTAGCAAGACACCCCCAATAAAGGACTGGTTTTGCAGGTGGTGACCACAGACCACTTCTCAGTTCCTATGCTTCCTGGCTGATGTTTTGGTCACTTTTGAATGCTGGCGGTGCTTTCACTCTAGTGGTAGCATGAGACGGAGTCTACAACCCACACAAGTGGCTCAGGTAGTGCAGCTCATCCAGGATGGCACATCAATGCAAGCTGTGGCAAGAAGGTTTGCTGTGTCTGTCAGCGTAGTGTCCAGAGCATGGAGGCGCTACCAGGAGACAGGCCAGTACATCAGGAGACGTGGAGGAGGCCGTAGGAGGGCAACAACCCAGCAGCTGGACTGCTACCTCCGCCTTTGTGCAAGGAGGAGCAGGAGGAGCACTGCCAGAGCCCTGCAAAATGACCTCCAGCAGGCCACAAATGTGCATGTGTCTGCTCAAACGGTCAGAAACAGACTCCATGAGGGTGGTATGAGGGCCCGACGTCCACAGGTGGGGGTTGTGCTTACAGCCCAACACCGTGCAGGACGTTTGGCATTTGCCAGAGAACACCAAGATTAGCAAATTCGCCACTGGCGCCCTGTGCTCTTCACAGATGAAAGCAGGTTCACACTGAGCACGTGACAGAGTCTGGAGACGCCGTGGAGAACGTTCTGCTGCCTGCAACATCCTCCAGCATGACCGGTTTGGCGGTGGGTCAGTCATGGTGTGGGGTGGCATTTCTTTGGGGGGCCGCACAGCCCTCCATGTGCTCGCCAGAGGTAGCCTGACTGCCATTAGGTACCGAGATGAGATCCTCAGACCCCTTGTGAGACCATATGCTGGTGCGGTTGGCCCTGGGTTCCTCCTAATGCAAGACAATGCTAGACCTCATGTGGCTGGAGTGTGTCAGCAGTTCCTGCAAGAGGAAGGCATTGATGCTATGGACTGGCCCGCCCGTTCCCCAGACCTGAATCCAATTGAGCACATCTGGGACATCATGTCTCGCTCCATCCACCAACGCCACGTTGCACCACAGACTGTCCAGGAGTTGGCGGATGCTTTAGTCCAGGTCTGGGAGGAGATCCCTCAGGAGACCATCCGCCACCTCATCAGGAGCATGCCCAGGCATTGTAGGGAGGTCATACAGGCACGTGGAGGCCACACACACTACTGAGCCTCATTTTGACTTGTTTTAAGGACATTACATCAAAGTTGGATCAGCCTGTAGTGTGGTTTTCCACTTTAATTTTGAGGGTGACTCCAAATCCAGACCTCCATGGGTTGATAAATTTGATTTCCATTGATAATTTTTGTGTGATTTTGTTGTCAGCACATTCAACTATGTAAAGGAAAAAGTATTTAATAAGATTATTTCATTCATTCAGATCTAGGATGTGTTATTTTAGTGTTCCCTTTATTTTTTTGAGCAGTGTATATTTAATCTATATTAAATTCAGGCTGTAACACAACAAAATGTGGAAAAAGTCAAGCTGTGCTAATACTTTCTGAAGGCACTGTAGATGGTTTTGGATAGAGTGAGAGAACATGAGACACATGGAAGTAGAACAATTGAAGTTAAAATAACTACGCTCAAACAGCAGCACAAGCTCAAACAGAGTTCCTCTTTTACGCTGCTGCTACTCTGTCTATTATTTATGCATAGTCACTTTAACTCTACCCACATGTACACATTACCTCAATTACCTCGACTAGCCGGTGCCCCCGCACATTGACTCTGCACTGGTGTATATAGCCTCCCTACTGTTATTTTATTTTACTGCTGCTCTTTAGTTATTTGCTTGCTTTTTTTTATCTTAAAAAAATGCATTGTTGGTTAAGGGCTTGTAAGTAAGCATTTCACTATAATGTCTACACCTGTTGTATTCGGCGCATGTGGCAAATACAATTTGATTTGATTTGATTTGATTAGTGGCTTTTCCCTTCTCTTCAAAAATGTTAGGTTACCGACACCTGCCCCCACTCACCAATGACTATTCATAGACACACAGTGGGTGGTGGGTCTAGCTGGGACCCTCTACCAAGTTAAATATAAATCACTCCACCAAATGCAGGTTTGTAATTAGCAAAAGGGTGGGTCTATGTTTTCAATACAAACTCATGCAATAAAAAACACAGGAAGTTTAATATCATTTAGCTAATTAAATCCAACCGTAATGTAAGACAACTACTAGTACTTACATTACAATGTTGACAGCAAATTATTCATTGATTTAATGAACTAAAGAACATTTGTGTATTGATCCAAGAGAGCATCAGATATCAGCCTAAAACAAGCCCTGCAAGTTAAAGTTGAACATGGAACATTATGGGAATGTTATGGGGATGTTATGGGAACATAAGAGGTTGTGCACAAGAAAAAAAAGAAGGTATTGCTAAAATAAACTAATGACAGAGTAAAAAATTGCCTGCTACTTTCTGTTCAACTAAACCAATGACTCACTTTGTGACACACAGGAGGCGAATAACAAATTGTCTTCCCACAATGCAATTAGGCGAACAGGAAACAAGGTTGTCACACCCCCAGTGACCAGGAAAACCACTGTCTTTCCCGTTCATCCTAGGCTGTATCTCAACAGTCCAAAATGGCTTCCTCTCCTCATCTCCTTTCAGATCGGTGTGGATTAAGAAATGGAGATGAGGAAAGGAAGTAACTTTATACTACTGAGATATAGCACTCGTGTTCCAGAACAGGCCTAGGCATTCCTGTATGAATACGGCCTGACAGGAGGTGTGTTCAACTGAACCTGTGACAGATTGAGGACACTGACTGACACCATTGTAAAAAATCTGTCAAATGAAGTCTCAACAGGCATTGTGAGAGCACATCTCTGGTACTTTCTGACAGCGGAGGGGAGAGAGGACCTGACATACTGAATAAAGGAGGTCAAGTAGGACAGATAAAGAGAGATGGGTGTAAAGGGTTGATGAAAAGGCGGTACGGTGTGGAGAGATAAAAAGACATAACATCAAAATGCCTGCCAGAATGCTGGCAAAGGATTCACAGAAGGTGACATAACTCATCTGGTGGAATAGATGAAAGGAATGCTCTGTATTCAGCCCATTCAAACTTCCCCTTCTCTCCACAGGAGTCTAAGTCCATGGACTTCCTATTGGATCCAGAGTCCTATACCACAGTTCCCCTATTGGAGGCGGGAGCTCCAGTTTAGGAGGTCACAACCCCATCTGAGACTGCTACTTTATCTCCCTGGGCTGGGCTGAGTTTCTAACTGGCACGCTTCTGCTATTAAACATACCACAGATTCCTCATGTGACTCAGTCCCAGTACAAAAATGACTGTCCTATCAGGATTCAGGCTTCAGGCTTCCCCAGGACTAGGTTAACCTACAAGGTGGAACTCTCATATCCTGACTCTTCCTGCTAAGAAACTGTGAAAAATGTCCGGCCCAATTTCCTGAATGACCAAATCTGAGGTAACAACTCTTAATTTCCCGCTTTGGATTTTTATATGAGAAGATTTCCTACTCAGCTTTCTCAGTATATGCCTATACCTTTTTCCTCTTGACCCCCATTTATATCAGTTCTGTTTCCTTTCATGGCTAAGTACTTCCTGTTTGACTCTGTTATACAGCCGTTACAAGAAACAACACTGGTTAATATTAACTTAGCCTGAGGCTAAGAGTAAGTAAGGCTAGAGGTTAGGCCCACTAACCATCAACCGCATCACTTACACTGCCACAACTCATAAGTTACTAACCCTTCAGGACTAAACTTCCCTTTAAATAGGTCTTTACCCAAAGTGGTTCTGATACACACTACACAGACCAACCTTTCAGAGACCCAAAAGCTTTGAAGCTCCACAGCACGGTGACCACTCTAGTCTAAATCACCATTATGGTTGACAGGTAGTGTTATATACCTCAGTTTGGAGTTACGACAATGGTCCATGACTTACGCTATGGGATCTAACTGTGACCCCTGACCTTTATGCACACCCGAAACTAAATTTAGTGAAGGCGCTAGAGCAGAACATTAGGAGAGAAAAGCTGGAAATAGATGTTATCTGCTGTTTCCCTCTGTGGTAATGAATAGCTGTGTTGGACCAGTTAGACAGATAAGGCAAAGCTAGCCGCTGCTTGGAGGTCTGTATCACTGGTGATCCATGGGATGAATATTCATTCTAACATTCTTCATGTCTACGCTACGAAGCACAGGCTGGGCAAAGTACAGCAGAGCTGGATGTGATGTAACAGGGATTGTATAAAATCTTGAACAGATGATTCACATCAATTTCCCATTCAATAAAGTGTGGATGATGAAGCCATAGACAGTTGGCTCTGTGAGAATGTGTGTGCCTTCCGTCTTCGCAATACTCTCTAGCCAGCACACACACACTCATACACACACAGACCTAGGCCTGTCCCCAGCACCCATTGTCAATTCATAACCACAATATGGATTCTGTTCCCGTGCCTCCTCTCCTCTCCTGTCTGCCACACCGCTCTGCTCAATGAGTCATTGGCTTACGATGTGCTCCAGCATCGCCACGGCAACAAGGCAACTGGCAGCCCAGAGGGATTTATCTGGCCTGATCCTTTCCCTGAGGTGTGTGTGTGTGTGTGTGTGTGTGTGTGTGTGTGTGTGTGTGTGTGTGTGTGTGTGTGTGTGTGTGTGTGTGTGTGTGTGTGTGTGTGTGTGTGTGTGTGTGTGTGTGTGTGTGTGTCTGATGCTGCAGTATTCAGCCAGGGCTCGGATACTGAGGCACATTGTCTGCTCTTCGCAGTCGTGGCACATTTCTCCTCCTCCTCCTCCTCACTCCTCCGTTCCGTGGCCCACGTGCTCCAGAGTAGCGGAGGAGGAGAGGAATGTGTTGTTTGCACACTCTGCTATGTCCATCCTGAAAGGCCCTCTGGGAGCTGAGCTGACCATCAGTGTGTCAGCCAAAACAGACCTTTCAAACCTCTTACTTCATCAACACGACTAGTATAGATACAGTGGGGAGAACAAGTATTTGATACACTGCCGATTTTGCAGGTTTTCCTACTTACAAAGCATGTAGAGGTCTGTAATTTTTATCATAGGTACACTTCAACTGTGAGAGACGGAATCTAAAACAAAATTCCAGAAAATCACATTGTATGATTTTTAAGTAATTAATTTGCATTTTATTGCATGACATAAGTATTTGATACATCAGAAAAGCAGAACTTAATATTTGGTACAAAAACCTTTGTTTGCAATTACAGAGATCATACATTTCCTGTAGGTCTTCAGCAGGTTTGCACACACTGCAGCAGGGATTTTGGCCCACTCCTCCATACAGACCTTCTCCAGATCCTTCAGGTTTCGGGGCTGTCGCTGGGCAATACGGACTTTCAGCTCCCTCCAAAGATTTTCTATTGGGTTCAGGTCTGGAGACTGGCTAGGCCACTCCAGGACCTTGAGATGCTTCTTACGGAGCCACTCCTTAGTTGCCCTGGCTGTGTGTTTCGGGTCGTTGTCATGCTGGAAGACCCAGCCACGACCCATGCTCTTACTGAGGGAAGGAGGTTGTTGGCCAAGATCTCGTGATACATGGCCCCATCCATCCTCCCCTCAATACGGTGTAGTCGTCCTGTCCCCTTTGCAGAAAAGCATCCCCAAAGAATGATGTTTCCACCTCCATGCTTCACAGTTGGGATGGTGTTCTTGGGGTTGTACTCATCCTTCTTCTTCCTCCAAACACGGCGAGTGGAGTTTAGACCAAAAAGCTCTATTTTTGTCTCATCAGACCGCATGACCTTCTCCCATTCCTCCTCTGGATCATCCAGATGGTCATTGGCAAACTTCAGACGGGCCTGGACATGCGCTGGCTTGAGCAGGGGGACCTTGCGTGCGCTGCAGGATTTTAATCCATGACGGCATAGTGTGTTACTAATGGTTTTCTTTGAGACTGTGGTCCCAGCTCTCTTCAGGTCATTGACCAGGTCCTGCCATGTAGTTCTGGGCTGATCCTTCACCTTCCTCATGATCATTGATGCCCCACGAGGTGAGATCTTGCATGGAGCCCCTGACCGAGGATGATTGACCGTCATCTTGAACTTCTTCCATTTTCTAATAATTGCGCCAACAGTTGTTGCCTTCTCACCAAGCTGCTTGCCTATTGTCCTGTAGCCCATCCCAGCCTTGTGCAGGTCTACAATTTTATCCCTGATGTCCTTACACAGCTCTCTGGTCTTGGCCATTGTGGAGAGGTTGGAGTCTGTTTGATTGAGTGTGTGGACAGGTGTCTTTTATACAGGTAACGAGTTCAAACAGGTGCAGTTAATACAGGTAATGAGTGGAGAACAAGGGGGCTTCTTAAAGAAAAACTAACAGGTCTGTTAGAGCCGGAATTCTTACTGGTTGGTAGGTGATCAAATACTTATGTCATGCAATAAAATATTAATTAATTACTTAAAAATCATACAATGTAATTTTCTGGATTTTTGTTTTAGATTCCGTCTCTCACAGTTGAAGTGTACCTATGATAAAAATTACAGACCTCTACATGCTTTGTAAGTAGGAAAACCTGCAAATTTGGCAGTGTATCAAATACTTGTTATCCCCACTGTACATAGAATAGAATACATACAGTGAGGGAAAAAAGTATTTGATCCCCTGCTGATTTTGTACGTTTGCCCACTGACAAAGAAATGATCAGTCTATAATTTGAATGGTAGGTTTATTTGAACAGTGAGAGACAGAATAACAAAAAAAAAAACGCATGTAAAAAATGTTATGAATTGATTTGCATTTTAATGAGGGAAATAAGTATTTGACCCCCTCTCAATCAGAAAGATTTCTGGCTCCCAGGTGTCTTTTATACAGGTAACGAGCTGAGATTAGGAGCACACTCTTAAAGGGAGTGCTCCTAATCTCAGCTTGTTACCTGTATAAAAGACACCTGTCCACAGAAGCAAGCAATTAATCAGATTCCAAACTCTCCACCATGGCCAAGACCAAAGTGCTCTCCAAGGATGTCAGGGACATCCTTGGAGAGCACGTGGTCCTCTGTAGCTCAGCTGGTAGAGCACGGCGCTTGTAACGCCAAGGTAGTGGGTTCGATCCCCGGGACCACCCATACACAAAAATGTATGCACGCATGACTGTAAGTCGCTTTGGATAAAAGCGTCTGCTAAATGGCATATTATTATTATTATTATTTAGGGACAAGATTGTAGACCTACACAAGGCTGGAATGGGCTACAAGACCATCGCCAAGCAGCTTGATGAGAAGGTGACAACAGTTGGTGCGATTATTCGCAAATGGAAGAAACACAAAATAACTGTCAATCTCCCTCGTCCTGGGGCTCCATGCAAGATCTCACCTCGTGGAGTTGCAATGATCATGAGAACGGTGAGGTATCAGCCCACAACTACACAGGAGGATCTTGTCAATAATCTCAAGGCAGCTGGGACCATAGTCACCAAGAAAACAATTGGTAACACACTACGCCATGAAGGACTGAAATCCTGTCGCGCCCGCAAGGTCCCCCTGTTCAAGAAAGCACATATACAGGGCCGTCTGAAGTTTGCCAATGAACATCTGAATGATTTAGAGGAGAACTGGGTGAAAGTGTTGTGGTCAGATGAGACCAAAATCGAACTCTTTGGCATCAACTCAACTCGCCGTGTTTGGAGGAGGAAGAATGCTGCCTATGACCCCAAGAACACCATCCCCACCGTCAAACATGGAGGTGGAAACATTATGCTTTGGGGGTGTTTTTCTGCTAAGGGGACAGGACAACTTCACCGCATCAAAGGGACGATGGACAGGGCCATGTACCGTCAAATCTTGGGTGAGAACCTCCTTCCCTCAGCCAGGGCATTGAAAATGGGTCGTGGATGGGTATTCCAGCATGACAATGACCCAAAACACACGGCCAAGGCAACAAAGGAGTGGCTCAAGAAGAAGCACATTAAGGTCCTGGAGTGGCCTAGCCAGTCTCCAGACCTTAATCCCATTGAAAATTTGTGGAGGGAGCTGATGGTTCGAGTTACCAAACGTCAGCCTCGAAACCTTAATGACTTGGAGAAGATCTGCAAAGAGGAGTGGAACAAAATCCCTCCTGAGATGTGTGCAAACCTGGTGGCCAACTACAAGAAACGTCTGACCTCTGTGATTGCCACCAAAGGTTTTGCCACCAAGTACTAAGTCATGGTCAAATACTTATTTCCCTCATTAAAATGCAAATCAATTTATAACATTTTTGACATGCGTTTTTCTGGATTTTTTTGTTGTTATTCTGTCTCTCACTGTTCAAATAAACCTACCATTCAAATTATAGACTGATCATTTCTTTGTCAGTGGGCAAACGTACAAAATCAGCAGGGGATCAAATACTTTTTTACCTCACTGTAGATCACCATCACCATGAGCTGAAACACCCTTTGAGACCTGTTAGTTTTAGCAACATTAACTGACTACTCAAAAACATGACAATACACAGACTGCACTTGGAATTACAAAAAACTGATAACATCTCAAGACAACAAGCTAAATCCACCAACAAACATCATGACATCACCAAGTAGCGCCTCATTAATCTCTTTATGGAACCCAATAGACATACACTACATGACCAAAAGTATGTGGACACCTGCTCGTCGAACATCTCATTCCAAAATCATGGGCATTAATGTGGGGTTGGTCCCTCGTTTGCTGCTATAACAGCCTCCACTCTTCTGGGAAGGCTTTCCACTAGATGTTGGAACATTGCTGCGGGGACTTGCTTCCATACAGCCACAAGAGCATTAGTGAGGTCGGGCACTGATGTTGGGCGATTAGGCCTGGCTCGTAGTCGCCGTTCCAATTCATCCCAAAGGTATTCGATGGGGTTGAGGTCAGGGCTCTGTGCAGGCCAGTCAAGTTCTTCCATACCGATCTCAACAATCCTTTTCTGTATGGATCTCACTTTGTGCACGGGGGCATTGTCATGCTGGAACAGGAAAGGGCCTTTCCCAAACTGTTGCCACAAAGTTGGAAGTATATAATCGTCTAGAATGTCATTGTATGCTGTAGCATTAAGATTTCCCTTCACTGGAACTAAGGGGCCCAGCCCGAACCATGAAAAACAGCTCTAGACCATTATTCCTCCTCCACAAAACTTTACAGTTGGCACTATGCATTGGGGCAGGTAGTGTTCTCCTGGCATCCGCCAGCCCAGATTCGTCCGTCGGACTGCCAGATGGTGAAGCGTGATTCATCACTCCAGAGAACGCGTTTCCACTGTTCCAGAGTCCAATGGCAGTGAGCTTTACACCACTCCAGCCGTCGCTTGGCATTGTGCATGGTGATCTTTGGCATTTCATGAAGCTCCCGACGAACAGTTATTGTGCTGACGTTGCTTCCAGAGGCAGTTTGGAACTCAGTAGTGAGTATTGCAACCGAGGACAGACGTTTTTTCAGCACTCAGCTGTCCCGTTCTGTGAGCTTGTGTGGTCTACCACTTCGCAGCTGAGCCGTTGTTGCTCCTAGACATTTCCACTTCACAATAACTGACTTGTTGGAAAGGTGGCATCCTATGACGGTGCCATGTTGAAAGTCACTGAGCTCTTCAGTAAGGCCATTCTACTGCCAATGTTTGTCTATGGCGATTGCATGGCTGTGTGCTCGATTTTATACACCTGTCTGCAACGGGTGTGGCTGAAATAGCCGAATCCACTAATTTGAAGGGGTGTCCACATACTTTTGTATATATAGTGTAGCTGTCAACAGGTCTGGGCAGCAGCATGTAATAATATAATAATAATATGCCATTTAGCAGACGCTTTTATCCAAAGCGACTTACAGTCATGCGTGCATACATTATTTATTTTTTTGTGTATGGAGGTGGAAACATTATGCTTTGGGTGGGATTTAGATGTGCTGGGAGAGATTGAGTCAGAAAGCGAGAGGGGATTGAGTCAGAGAGCGAGAGGAGATTGAGTCAGAGAGCGAGAGGGGAAGAGAGGAGGAGGATGTTTGCATTACTTACTTTCAGGAGGCGGGGGAGGGAAGTCTTCCACGATGTCCATACTGGGTGCTGTTTTCTGGGCATACAGGTTCACTCAGCAGCCTGGTGGTAGTGGTGGTGGAAGTCCTCTACACCCACACATAGCCCTGGAGGAAACACACACATGGAGGAATGTTAAGATGGCACACTATGATATACTGTACACTTATTCAATTAGCTAAGCATAGACGAATGTTCCCATGCATCATCTACAGCAGTTTTTCCGAGCTACATGGCCATGTTATGTCCTAACTAGACTTTTGCCTGGTAAGGTCACATGGTATAAGTGAGCATGAGTATTAATACAAGGAATGTCAAACGATGGCATATAATATGATATACACTTGTAGCTTAGCGCTGATACGTCATTACTGTGGTATTTGGCACTGCTTTACCTCCAGCCGATGGTAAACCAACCAACCACACCCTGTTTATTCCATGTTACTCAATGTTAGTCACACCAGAAGGGTAGGGGAGTAGTGGAGCATTGTGGTCTTGGCTCTTTTGTCTGAGCGTCAGACATATGAACCAAATTAAAAACAACATCAAGATACAAAACAAACAAAACATCCTCTCGCTCCACGTGTTAAAGTGTAAACAAACAGTTAATACGGTGTGTGTGTGTGTGTGTGTGTGTGTGTGTGTGTGAGAGAGAGTCAGAGCAGGGTTATTGTATCCATTATTGTATCCACTGACACCATTAGGGTCAGTGACTTTGTGTAAGTAAACTGTGGGTTTACTTAGATGGGAATGTCGAGGGAAAACCCTGGGAGTTAATCATTACCAGTGTGTGTGTGTGTGTGTGTGTGTGTGTGTGTGTGTGTGTTTAACATCGCTTCACTTAGGATTCAAAGCACTCAGGCTTCAATGCTGCTCTCAAGCACTTGGTCACCTGTTGATTGATTTAGAGTGAGTCAGTCATCTTCTACTGTAGCTTTAACACCCTCTGATCACTCATGCATGTCCTTATTTTCCAAATAACCAGAAAGAAGGGGTTTCAACAGCTACGAGGTTCAACTCTACTGAACATCTGATAACAGCTGTCCAAATTGGGATGTCTAAATTTAGCAGTTGTTTTCATTGTTTCAAAGCCAGCTTTCCTCCAATAAAAACTAGGCTCATTTAGTCTACAAATAATCCACAGTTCCTTTTTTGTTGATGGGAGTAAAGCTGGAATTTATTTATTGTGGACAGCTGTTATCAAATCAAGATGTTCAGTAGAATTGAATTCAATATAGTTCACTAATTCTAGCTCAACGTTATTTTCTTATAAACTTCTGCATGTACAGTACTGTAAGCCTGTCACTTTTACACATTACAGCATTTCTGATCTCAATACCTTTTAACCTGTAAAAGGTTTAACACTGGCTGAGGGGCACAGGGTAGAGTGACAGGTATGCAGAGGCATGTGGGGTCAGAGGTCAAGGTGAGGGTGGGGTTAACAGAGAGCTCACTTTTCGGCTGGGGGGAAATGACACATGCATGCTAAAACAGGAAACAAGCAGACCTGCACAGACATGAGACCAGAGAGACAGCGCATTCTTCCACTGTCTAACATTTTGTTAAATAGAGGATTGGACACATGGATGACTCCAACAAAATAAGCTTCAAGTTTACGTTGGAAAGTAGGTCAAGTCCTTATGTAATTGCCTACTTACTTCAAAAGAGACTAAAATGTCAGTCTATCCTCAAGGGTGGATGATATAGCAATGATGTCATTCCATAGAATAAGAGGACCCTTGTTGTGGAGTTCTAGTGTGTTCCATACTGTTCACAGACATTCTGCTCTCCAATTAAATTCACACCATAATAAGAAAACAAGCTTACAATACAGTACAAGCATCAGTGAATAAGACTGCTCTATTCCAATGCTGCCAACAAGAGCCAAAAGATAAACCACTTAGTGACTCAAAGGTTGTTTTGTCTAGCTCCTCTGCTTCTTTGTCCCCACCCAGAGAGCACAGAGCACAGGCCCAGGCCCAGGGGTGTGAAGTGAACAGAACACACAGGACCAGTGTTTTCTTCTGTCCTGTATGTCTAAGAGACAAATGCTAGTACAGTTAGGTAGAAAATGTTTGTCCTGGAGACAAAATGCTTTATAACTGGTCAAAGTTAGAGCCAGACATGTGACTTACCGGACAGATTTAGACAAGGAGAACAATTCCTAAAAGGATGGGATACACCCTTAACATGGCTGATAAAATGATTAATCATTGCTATCCTCAGGAGTACTGTATGAGTTGTGATTGTGACAGGGGAAGGAAGGGAGTTGGAGGCAGGGAGGGAGAGATGGGGGAGGGAGGGGGTGAGGAGGAAATGCAGCAATCAGGTGTGCTCATCCTCTGGGCGTCCTAAAGAGGAACAAGAAAGACATTTCCTAAATTAATACCTTTAATACGGTTATTCTCATGGGCCATGTCTTATAGAGTATTTGATTAACGTGATATTTAAATGTACCCTATTGTCACACTTTTACAGAAGGCCTTAAACTCAGGTTACGGTTAACAATAGTCTTCGAGTTCAGACAGACAGCCTTTCTCGTAATGACATTAAAGCTTTTGAAAAGGTCTGGAGATTCCTCCATTTACCTCCTGTTGACTCCTATAATTACTCACCAGCTCTTTTACTTGCTGGGGGGAAACAAGATGCATCTCGGCCAAATTACATCCTGCGTGGCCTGTGGCATCTAGTCCGTGATCCCTGGGACCACTTGGACCACCATAGATGGGGGGGAAGTCCTCTCACATACGTAGGAAAATCAACACCAGGCCAATTGGAGGCTTCCAAACATTCCTTTAAAGTAGGTCTAGGGGGCAGGCAGACAGCTGAGCCAACGAAGAACAGTCTGATGACAGACTTGACCAAGCATGTCATTACAAGTCAGCAACACTCAAGTAAACCTCAGTAGTTAGCTATGACAGACAGGAAAATAGTCATCTAGGGCCTGCAGTTAATGCTGCTGATTTGTTTCCAGTGTGTTCAAAGTGTAGTCACAACAAACGTCACTAAAACATCAGTAATAAAACGAGTCACAACAGTAATAATAAAGGGTGAGGAGTTATCACATACATGCACTGCTAGATAATTAAAATCACATGCTAGTCAGTAGATTACTTCAAACCAAGACCGTAGCCAGGCAACCAAAGTGTTTGTGTCACTGACAGGTTCTTGTTGACAGCACCCTTGTTTGGTGTTTGAAGGATTTCTGGCGCCTCTATGAAGCCAAAAACATCTCAAGCACTCTTAATGACAAGTGGCATTCCACAAATGGTTTGACAGAGTCACAAACAAAACCCAGAGCCTGCTCTGGAGCTCACAGTTGCACCAGTAGAGAGCAGAGAGAATCCTCTCTCTCCATGCACACACACACAAACACACACACACACACAAACACACACACACACGTTCTACTTCTAGGGCTGGACCTGTGTCTCTCTGCATGGTTGTGTTATTGGCAGTGTGTCATGATCTCCCATCGCCAGCATTACTGTAATCAGTGGTCCATTATACAGTCCTCTCTGTGAATAGATGGACAGGGATGACAAAGACACTTGCGCTGGGGAGGACAGTGCCCTGCAGCCTACTAAAATGGCTCTCTCTGTCCCTCTCCCCGATCTGTATTTCTCTCTCTCCGTATGTGTGTTGACAGGGGGCCAGGCAGAATCGGTTTTATGACATGCAGAGGAGGAGCCCTGAAAACCACGGTGAGAGAGCGGATGAGAGAGCAGCACGCAGTCAGTCAGCCTCCAAGGAGTGGAGCTTAAAGTATATTGGATATTTCTCTCATTAGAAATCTACACAGAGTTCTAACACACTATAGGAATGTTCATGTCAGCAATAACTGATGCTATAGCTGAGCAGTTTGCATACACAAGGATATAAGAGCCCATGAAGATAAATTAAACAGATCTATAGAGCATGTTAGCATGCAGTAACTCAATGTATACCATTGCATAGCTGAATATTATCTTCATAGCTGCTTTCTAAAGCCTCTGACAGACCTGAAATGCTATCTGACCTAGACACAGGGATCAATATAGCCAGAGGAGCAGCATGGCATTTCACATCAGCACCTGTAATTATATGGGTGTTCGGTGTGGGAAATACACTTCGCTCTGGATAAGAGCGTCTGCTAAATGACTCAAATGTAAATGTAATAGCATGCCCTAGGGTTAGGGTTAAAGCTGCACTGGCTTTATTAGGCTAGGTCACCCATACGGAAAAATTATATATTGGAATATATTTCAATAAACTGTAAATATATTTAAATATATTGGGGGAAATGTATTTATCAAATATATATATATAAATAAATAAAATATATGTACATATATTTGTAACATATATATATATATGTAAAATACACACACACACACACACACACACCTCACAACCTTCCTTACCCTGATGATAATGTTGATTCTCTATTGACCTCTGGTACCTTAGCATTAGGTTCCCAAAGTGGCATTTTGCATGCAAAAGTTGGATCATTGATTTGTAGTTGAAAATAAATTCTGCAGCTATTGAGGTACCACTTAGTATGAAACATAGTAAAAATTAATTAGGTGTTTATTTTCGAAAAGACTCTTAGACAGAACATATCTGAGCTGTCAATCACAATTTGAAATGCCTGCCCCGAGCCCCGCCTCCAGTGTGCAAAGCTGTCATCAAGGCAAATGGTGGATATTTGAAGAATCTCAAATATAAAATAAATTTTGATTTGTTTAACACTGTTTTGGTTACTACATGATTCCATATGTGTTATTTCATAGTTTTGATGTCTTCACTATTATTCTACAATGTAGAAAATAGTAAAAATAAAGAAAAACCCTTGAATGTGTAGGTGTTCTAAAACTTTTGACCGGTAGTGTAGGTAAAGAACATTGAACAGAACAATAACTCAATTTTGACAAAAATGCAGATAGAACCTTAGTCCCAAGTTCTCCAAATATAGAATACATTTTCAATTGTTTTCTAGTTGTCTCCAAATACTATCTGAGCAAGGCTAGCCATCTCACTCCA